CAACTCGTGCAATGGAAATATATTTATAATTTTCGACAAATTTGCACTCATGCGTTTTTAACTGAAAAAGGCACTCGTGCACTACGTGCACTCGTGCTCTTTTTCAACTAAAAATGCATTCGGGCAAATTTCCCAAAAATTATCAATAATTTCCATTGCACTAGTTATATTACTATTGATTATACAACTCACTGTACATTATTCCCATATGACACGAGAGAATTAATAAGTGATAATCCTTCCCATATGACACGAGAGGCTTAACAAGTGATAATCCTTTTGCACGGTAACTGGTGTTTTGACATTTTTTGACAAAAAAATTTAAATTTTTGATTCATGAAATTATTAATTAATAAAGAATTAAAGTTTAGTTCGTTGTATAATCTTTTGAATACCACTCGAGTTTTCAGGATTACCTAATACTTTTACCTGACACTCAACGCGTTACCAGCAACACCACTCCTCCTTCGGAGTCGTGGTGTTGCTGCGTAACGCGTTTCGTGACAGGTAAAAGTATTATCCGGTAATCCTGAAACCTCTTGTGGTATTACATTCGACAATTCCACTCATGTATAAATAATCCCATTTGAAATGTCAAGAATCGTAGTTTGCTAGCGGATAAATAGGAAGGAAGAGAAAATATAACTGGATAAAAAAATCGGATAAATTTTCTGTTGATGCAATCGTTACTATAGTAACAATTGCATGAAAAATTTGTCGGCCCCCTCTCCGCGGGGTTTTGCCCCCTAAAAAAGGGGGCCCAAGGGGTCTGGGCCCCCCAAATATAGGGTTACCGCGGGGCTGAGCCCCCCAAAAACGGGGCTCCCTCAGGGCTCCGCTCCTAAATAGGGGGTTCTCGCAGGGCTTTGCCCCCCAAATAGGGGGCCCCCGGATTTTATTATGGGTACCTACTAAGAAAAAAGTGTGCGGGAAAAAAAAATTCCCGTACACTTTTGGGAAAGGGTTTCTTAAGGTGCGCAAAAGTACTACTTTGCGCACACTCGTGGAAAAATATTTTATTTTGATTTTGCATTCATGGAATTGCCGTACTAAATACCATTCGAGCTCCGATTTTGAGCAGGATAGGTAATTTTTTGCTTGCTCTCTCATACTTACTTTCATGCAATTTATCTCGATCTATTCCAAACCTTTTGAATACCACTCGATGTTTCAGGATTACCTAATACTTTTACCTGACACTCAACGCGTTACCAGCAACACCACTTCTCCTTCGGAGTCGTGGTGTTCCTGCGTAACGCGTTTCATGACAGGTAAAAGTATTATCCGGTAATCCTGAAACCTCTTGTGGTATTACATTCGATTATACAACTCATTGTACATTATTCCCATATGACACGAGAGGCTTAAGAAGTGACAAGCCTTTTGGGATTATCGCGCTTGGTGGCAATATTGTTCATTTACTATTAATAATAATGAAAATTAATAAAGTATCAAAGTTTAGTTCGTTGTATAACCTTTTGAATACCACTCGAAGTTTCAGGATTACCTAATACTTTTACCCGACACTCAACGTGTTACCAGCAACACCACTCCTCCTTCGGAGTCGTGGTGTTGTTGCGTAACGCGTTTCGTGACAGGTAAAAGTATTATCCGGTAATCCTGAAACCTCTTGTGGTATCACATTTGACAAAAAATTTGGTATTCACCTAACAATATTGCTACCTGGACAATACCAACAACTTGGTATTTCAAAGACCATTTTTTGACATTGTCAAACTGATATTTTTAATTTGAAGTTTTTATTCATATTTTTGCATTCTATTTCGAAAATTTTGCCGACAAATTTTTTTCTCTTGTGATATTATACATGAAAAATTTGCCCTAACTTTTCCAGCGACAAAACTGAACCTAGCTTGACATGACCAGCAAAATTTGTTATTTACGTAGGTATCCATTAAATTTTCTTACCGAATTACACTCAAGCTTTTTTTTTGTCTTTTTGTCTCTCTTTACTTTATAATGCGAGTTTTGTTGTATTCAGGCAATTTAACTCAAATTGCCAAGCAACAAAATTCTCATTGAAATATCAAGTTTACTTTGACAAAAAAAGGCTCTAGTGTAATTAATTATAAGTGACAATTAACTTTCTAATACCAAATAACATCATGAGAGTGAACCAAGGCCCTTCTGTTACCATTCAACAGTGACTACAATCTAAAACTGGGATACGATTTATTCCATCTTATTCGAATTGCCCTTCATCTACAGAAATTTGTTTGTTGTCACAAGAAATGCCATTACAATTACCACATAGGATTGAACACGGAATATTCGACTTTATACATGTGCATAATTTGTTACATCCTGACTTGCAGTTGCAATATATCATATTCAGAACAAAATCAGGTGCCACTGCCTTTGACATAGTTTTTGGAACCACCATGACTTTTTTTTCATCGCAACCCCAATGTGTTGGTTCTTTTTTATTATTAAGCCAATATTGAATTTGTAAGTAAGTCCTATAGTAATGATTCTCATCAGCTCCGTCTGAAGTTGGAGGCAAAGTAGCTAACTCAAAATTCTTGCTAAGAACTTGACGAGATGTAAGGGTTTTGTATTTATAATATCTCAACTGATCCAAACATCATTCATCAAACATTTTGTTTTGTTCTGCGATTTTCGCGCCTTAAATATTTAAATTATCAAAACCGAATAATTAACAGAATTGAAAATTCATAAGTTGATAGATCGCTATGATACAAAATTGCTTCTCATTGTGTCTAATAGATTTTTTCTCCAAACGTCAGAAAAACGTCACTTTGTTAACCCCTGTCAAGATGTCAGAAATTTGATTTCTTTGCTGCTAGGCAAATTCAGCGGGTTAACACCTGTCGAGGTGGTAGAAATCAAATTTCTATGCTGCTTGGCAACCCCAGCGGCAGCAAAAGTACTTTTAGTGCCGCTGGAGCGGCAGTAGAAGTACTTAAAAGTACTTTTACTGCCGCTCAACCATTCACTTGCCTCCGAGCTTACCCCATTCCTTTGGAGAAAAAATAGCGTCTTGCATACGGAGTAGAAGCACTTTTTTGTGCTTCAGCAGTATTGCAAACCTACCGCTTCAGCACAAAAAAGTAAAGCTTCTACTCCTAATACAACAATATACTATTTTAATTCTCTTCAATTTTGATGTCTTCATTTTTTTCAAAAAAATGTATCGTTTTCGAGTTATTCGCGGTTTTTCCCAAACAGTGCTGAAATTCAAGATGGCGGACGACTTTTTTTGGTGACGCAACAGTCGGAGGCATAGGGACTTTTAGTATGTTAATAAGGGGTACTAGGGCTACTTATTTTTGATAGTGGCGGCTTTATAAAAAATTTTGCATTTTCAACATTGTGAATTTCATAACTGCACTGGCCTATAGTCCAGGTAGGCAATAAAGTAGCACTTTATTTTACAGTAAAATAAAGTGCTACTTTATTGACGCGAAGTTGTTCTATAGATAGCACTTTTCTGGTTAATCGGACATAATAGTTATTTATCGCCAACCGTCAATATAGCTATACATTACCATAGCGATTTCTGGATGTGAAGAAATACTTTATTCCACTGATTTCCACCTGCCGCATATGCGGCAGATAAAGTATTTTTTCTCCGGATGACAGTAAAAGCGGCCTTTTAATGACACTTGACAGGATCAAAAGTTGTATTTTTACTGAGTGGATTTTTACTGCCTAGGCATTAAAAGTGACAATTTGGTATTTGAAATTGATGGTGACAATGACAATTATTGTCAAAATAATTTAATTATTTGGATAATAATAATGAATGAAATAAATAAATAAAAAACATGTCCATGTGTGAATTTGAACATTCGGAGAAAAAATTATATGTTTTACATGGCAGAAAAGAAGATTTAATGCCTCGGCTGGTTTCCTAGCCTCGGCTATGCCTCGGTTATGCCTCGGTTATGAAACACCAGCCGCGGTATTAAGTCTTGTACTTTTTTGCCTAGTAAAACAAATAACTATAACCTGCGGCAGATAGATAAAGTATTTTACCTGCCGCAAATATTTTTGCAGAGTCCTGTTGAGGAATGTGTGCTCAATAGAACAAAAATCGCGAAGAAAGTTTTAGGCAGCAATTATATCAAATTGACACCCTAGTTGTTACCAATGATAATTCAATAAAGAAGGACTCACGCATTGTTAACATATTGAAACTCCTTGACTTCAAGAATTAATTGATGTCATACGACGTCGACAAGGTGTACATTCACGTTCAATTTAACAAACAAAAAGTAGATGGGTTCTGTGTTTGCACTTATAAAAAGATGTGTCAAGTTATAATATCTTCATTTTTTACAGTTATCAATTTTTACATTTGGCGATAAAGTTTTGTATGCACCATGTCAGTAAAGTGTCTTTATCAAACTCGCCTTTTTACTCGCCTCGCTCACTTCGCTCGCTCGACTCATAATCTCAGACTCGTTCGATAAAGTATCACTTTACTGCCTCGGTCCTTGGTACATTTAAATATTATAACCTACTCATACTAACACCATTCACAGGTGAAAAAAAAAAAATCCAGATAAATTGAATTTCTAAAATAGTTATTTATGCAACAAGTGTGTAAAGTAAACCTTTTTTCACGAATGTGAATTTTGACAATCACATGAGTGAAAAAAGGTGCTTTACGCACGTATTGCATACAAAATTTTTCTACTACCAATCAAATATGTGTAATAAAATAGATTTAGACAAATACTTTACACACTAGTGCGTGAAGTATTTTCACTTTACGCACTAGTCCGTGAAGTAATTTACCAGAAAAATATTACATTGACAGTGTTGACATCTGTCATTGACATTACTTTACGCACTAGTGTGTGAAGTGAATTACTTTACGCACTAGTGCGTGAAGTGTAATTTCACATCTTCTGAATAGTGCGTAAAGTGAGTACTTTACGCACGGTAGTAGAAAAAAGATTTTTTTTTTTATGTTGGCACCAAGTTATACCTAAAGAGTTTTTGTTTTCTAGTTGCCCAACATTTGCCTTGTACCATCAAAAACTAAATCGGCCATACCAATCAACTACGTGGGCAGATTGAATGAGTTTTGCTCTGGAAACAGATATTGTCCAGCTGTATATACAGAAAATCCAATAATCACCAATAATCAATTTGGATTAATATGCACATTCCAAGAATTCAGTACAAATGGCTATGGATCAACTAAGAAAGATGCCAAACAGGAGGCTGCTAAGAATATGCTCTTATTGTATGTAAAAATGGCATAAAATAATATTTTTAATTCAATATAACTTCTTTTAGAATAAAAGAAAAAGATATTGGTCCCAAGTCTATGGTGGAGGATCTAAAAGACACACAACATAATGATGAAGGAGTGAAACAAGCGTTGAAAGTTTATACGGGCCTAATGGCAAATTTGTCTATCAATGAGAATATTTCCACAACAACTGCTGATATTGATGTGGGGGTACCCGAAGGAACTCCAGAAGAAGAAGTAAGTTACAAAACGTATTTCACCCTGTTGTAGTTTTTACACCTTGTTTACTTAATTTCTTCAATGCATGTGCGTGCCATAAGGAGTAATTCACCTTACTGCACTCAATACTGTAGAAATTCTTTACCCCACTCAGTGCTGTAAAATTTCTTCACTGCTTTCTTTCAATAATATATTTATGTTTATTTTTTTTTTCAAAGGCTTTACGGTCAATCGATTTCAATCTGATACTCCAAAGGAATGTGCGCTTCGGCTCCCTACGTTACAGGGTCAATGGTAACCTGACGTCACACCTATTTTGCCATATGCTTCACCTCGTCGCTCCTCATACGGAAAGTGTCAGATTAAAAACGTCGGACAATAATGAGATTTGACATTTCCTAAGTTTTGGTTTTAATTTTCAATATCATATTTTTCAACGCAACATGCGTTAAAAAGATTCTGCGTCAGAATTTTAAAAAAATCAATATTTGCTACTTTTTTCTTTTGAATTAGAGTTAAAATTCTTGAGGTTCACTCAACAGTTTTCACCACTTTGCTTAAACTGTAAATTACAATTTTGATGTGTTAATAGCACTATTTTATTGTGTTTTTTAATTTTAGCTCACTAGCTCAAACTACTACGCCCTTCTTAGTCTTTGACCTAGCTCAGGTTATCAAGGAGCTCAGTTGCTTCCACATTCACATGCCTATGTAGCCTATCTTCATGGATTTTTGCGTACTTTCTTATAAGTTGTATTCCTTTCACGCCTAGGAGGAGCTCCGGAACAGCTCCGGGGCGTTACGCGCTTATTCCTTTCGAAAAGTGTTTGTTGCACCTGAAGTGCTCAAGCCCGAATCAAACATTTAAATGCACAAAAGCCAGCGAATCTGTTCCTTTCAAATTGGGGTCGACTAAATACCGCAGCGATTAGCTCTTGTGTTCTAAACCCTTGAAAGGAATAAAACTACTGTCTCTGTTACAGTTTCAATTTTTCGGTCCCGATGTAGGTCACTATTTCGAACGAACCAAGGTGCATTAATAATTTTTCTAAGTACTTTATTTTGGAATTTTTGTATGACTTGTATGTTACTCTCTTTATTACAACCCCAAAGTTAAATACCATGTCCATACTTTTTGTTTCAGTATTTGCCTATAAAGCAGTAAGTAACTTGTTATGTAATGTTAAATTGGACTTCCTTTCAATTGACCAGTACATTTTTCTATACTTTTATTCAAGCTCTTCCCTTTTTTCCTTAACCGCAATTTCGCATCAACAGTCACACCAAGATGTTTTGCTTGATTTGAATATGGTATAGGAGTGTTATTAATAATTGTGATTTGTATCTGATTTACGTTTTTGTTTGTAAAGTCAACGTGAATTGGTTTCATTTAATTTTATTCGCCATTATTTGATCCAATTTTGAATTTTAGTGACAGCATTCTGCAGTTTTTTTTTTTTGTTGATTGTTCATTACTTTTTTTCACTGTAATTAGAACAGTATCATCGGCGAATGTTGCTAAATGACAATTTTCTGGTTTTGGAATGTCACAAGTAAATAATAAATATAAGTAGGGGCTAGCATGCTACCCTAAAGTTCACCTGCTTTTATTTTCATAAATTTTTCAAAATCAAAATCTTCCTGTTTGACTCTTAAATGTCTACCTATCACATACATATATATATATATATATATATATATATATAATTCCAAAATTATATAATTTATATAATTCCAAAATATTAGAATATTGTTTTGGCAGAAACAGTTTCAATCTATAGTTCCGTCTTTCATGCCAAACTTCGTCAAATGCTTGCCCTACATCGAAAAAAACTGCAGAACAGACTTTTTTCCTCTTCCAGCGATTTTTGTATTATATTGGTTATTCTGTGTACTTGGGCGATCATAGAGCGATCTATGATTGGTTTTATTCTTTTTAGCTATATATTCTCAAAGAGCTTCGATAAAACTGGTAATAATGATATTGGCTTATAAGATGACACATCATGTGGTTTTCCGGGTTTTGTTGTCATGATAACTTCTGCAACTTTCCAAAGTTTAGGTATGTATCTGAGCCTAAAGGAGGCATTGAAAACGTTGCATAGTTTTACCAATAGCTTTCCTGGGCAGTTGTTTTATTACTTCCGCAGAAATTAGGTCATATCTTGGAGCTTTTTGCGGACTAATATTCTATTTGTGTTCTCTGCTAATATTTCTCTTGGTGAAGTAGGCTTGATGTGGCCTTCTTCTTGATAAGGTTCATTCCAGGGAAGATTTTCATCTTCTGCTTCGTTAGGCTGAAATGTCTTTTTTACTGTCCACTGTGTCTACTTAATGGATTTTTTTAACCAACCCAACTAACAGCGACCACAAAAAATTAAAAAAAAAATCAAAAATAAAATCCAAAATCGAGAAAATAGTATAAAACTCAGGTTGCAGAAGGCTATTTTCGCTCTCATTCGTTCGTACATTCGCTCCTTCGTCGTTTATGTCCAAATTTCGAATTCGTGCAGGAATATGTGGCCTTCTGCAACTTTTATTTTAATATACTATTCTGATATCAGGCAAATGTCAATCTTTTCTATATCTAAGATAACTTGCAACTTTTGCTGATGTTGCAAGAGACCATTGGCATTCCAAGCTAAGATTCTAGGGTTACTGACCGTCCTGACGATTGATAATAGCGCTGTTATTGCTATTTTCCAGTTTAGTTAATCGCTCATCAAGTTTGTTTAATTTTTCCAAAATCAATTGCAATTTTAGTCCTAGCGATTTGCGGTTAACAACAATTATGGCCAAAACTCTGCAAATTGTGTTGAAAGTATGAAACTTGGTAGGCACCTTAAATAGTTCGAATTAAGAGATTTTGCCCGCAGTATGCAAAAAACACCCCTGGAGCAGCTTAGGGGTGGAGTAGAGTCTAAGGGGGTTGAAATTGCAAATAAATTAAATAATAACCAATGCAGGCAAGTGATATGTCATTTTATTCATTTGATATCGCTGAAGTCAATCTGAACCATATTTTTTTTGTAACCATAAAATTTTCAAAATGGCGGCCAAATTTTCAATTTCAAAGCCGCGTTAATGGCCGCCATGTTTAAATTTAATTTTTGAAAATGACGACTACGCCACTCTACACCAAAGATAATCCTACTCTCGGAGTAGGATTATCTTTGATCTACACATACGGTTCAATGTTCTATTTTTTGTCCAAAACAAAATATGTTTGTCGGTGAAACACTTAGTGAAAGAGAAAGACAAATATACAATTATGATGCTCCCAATGTAGCTTTTTTGCCGTGGCGCCATCTACTTGAAATTGCTTGAACGTTTTAAGGTCATCTCAAAAAATCCGCAATAATTTCCAAAATCCTTTGGCATAAACATTATTTGATATATTATCTACAATCCCTACAATTAGCTTTTTTTAGTTTTTCGTGGTTATCAATAAAATATGCTTTTCACGGATCCAAGCTTGATAATCATGCAAATATGCAACCACCAACACATTTAGTTGTTTCGGTGGTTGCGAACATGATTTTTGAATTTAAAAAAAAGGCTGAATATCGAAAAACTAAAATAAGGAATTGTAGATAATCGATCAAATATTGTTTTGCCAAATTTGAGCCAATTCTGATGTGCCGTTTTTTCAAAGACCCTAAAACAAGTTTCGCAAAATCAACCAATCAGAGCACTGCATTTTCATCGTTATTGCGGCCTTAGAGTAAAATTTTGTTAAATTCGCTAATATTAAGAAAATTGTAACATATGGGACTTTCTTTATTTAAATTGCAATTTCTTATGATATTTTTTGGCATTCTGAGTACTGTAGTTAAATCTGTACTTGCCCCCATATGTGGCCAGCTTGGTGAGCTGCTCTCAAAATATGCTGCCTTAAGGCGCTGGATGAGGGAGGAATTAAATTTATTGGCTTTTAACAGCTGCAAATATCTTCTAAGGGTTCTAAACTTATTTTCTCTAATCAACTGCTCCTCTACGGATCATGGCTCACCTAAACCTATAAAAGCTTTTGTAGTCCTTGCTTCAGTCCAGGCAGACCAAACACTTTTTTTTATTTTGATGTGAAAAATGAAACCGAATCGCATCCGGTAAATGTGTGATACATATCCCCTGAGTGCTTTCGATTTTTCAGGTCCGAAAACTTTGACAATTGCGTAAACAGCAATATAACGTCTTTTAGAACCAACACCAAACTTAATCCACAATTCTTTAGGACCTTGACTCTGGAATAATGGAATAGAGCCAATAAATTTAATTCCTCCCACATCCAGAGCCTTAAGGCAGCACATTTTGAGAGCAGCTTACCAAGCTGGCCACATATGGGGTCAAGTAAATACTGCTAAAAACCAGTTTCCATCTCCTTAAAGTTGGGGTAGGGGTGCGATTTTCGAAACCATTCGAGTACATTTCGATTTCGTACACGAAATTTGAGTGACCGCAATGTAAATTAAATAGGGAGCATTCGGAATTATATCAAATTTCGTATGCGAGAATGTTCGAAAATACCATCCCTGGTCAAAGAAAGATTTAACGCTAGCACCTTTGTGGTCTGAGTTATCTCCTGTCTGGTCTGCTTTAAGAGAACTTGACAGGTGTGGCTGGCAACAATGTGAAAGAATGCGTTATTTTTGTTGGCGATATGAGCTATCATGTACTCCAGCATGTAAAAAATGCAAAGGAGAATGCTGATGCTCTGACAAGATGTACGTGGTGATTTACTAATTTTTTTGTGTCAAGTTTTATTAACTATTGTATGGTCGAGTAAGCACCAGAATCAGAAAAAACTTGAAATTTCACTTTTCTTTTATCCCATATGAATATCAGAAATAAAAGGTCTATAATACCCTTAATTCGTCCATGAAAATCCAACAAGGCATTCCGTGAATAAATTTTACTTTCGAGAATACCAACCAATAATAAAATTTTTGGGGATACTAAAAAATATTTGGGATTAAAATATTTAGTTGGGGATACAGCGTACAACTGTCAACTTTTAC